TGGAGGAAGCACAGGGCTGCAGAGCAGCAGAAGGTAGATTTCCATAGAATAGGGGAAGCTGAAAAGCTGCAAAAGGTATATTTCCATAGAATGAGGGAGCTGGGAACAGCAAAAGGTCTATACTTACAAAATAAAGAGAAGGAAGCCCTTCATACAGAAGGAGAGGAAGAAAGCCCAGGGGGGATAGGAAAACAATGGGGAAGGAGGTGGGGGGGAGAACCTCACACATCCCCTGTGAGGTTCAACATGTGAGGTTCAACCTTTGAGTCCAGGAGTTACTATAGTAACCAGTCTAAGGGAATGGTGACTAATCAGAGGGGATATCAAGGCACCAGGATCTGCAGCCTTTATAAGCCACAGGGAAAAGAACTCAGTGGGACCCTTTCCCTCTCCCCACATGGGAGTCTGTACTTGTTCTTCAATAAATCTCCACCTTTGCTATACTACCCTCTGTCCGTGGATTCATCCTTCGATTCCGGCGGACAAAGAATCCGGGTTCCAGTCCAAAAATTCCGTTTCACCATGGTTTGGCTTATCTGGTGCAACACCCAACAGGTATTGAATATCTAAAATGTGTCACTTTAAGGACTGAGTCAGTATGGAGGCTCAGAGAAGAGCATGGGAAAATCTCTGAGCCAGTGGTGTGGGTGGCGTGTCTGGACTGGAAGGAAGATGAGAGAGGAGCTCAGAGAGGTGATCCAGGAGTTCCCTAAGGCCAGCCTGACTCAGTAAGTCACCGGGTCAGCTGGCAATGAGTCAGTTGTGGCGTGGGGGCTAACACCAAACTGTCGGGAAGCGGGCCAGCCGAACAGCCCCCCTGGGAGAATGATCCTAACTACAATCCCTAGAATTTGCATGTCCCTCTACAGTTTACAAAGCACTATCCACATGTTTCTTCATTGGCTGTTTCCTATACACACGCAGAAGGGACCAGGGTTTGAGATGACCTAGTAGTTGTAGTTTTTGTATTTGTTTAAAAAGTAAAATCCTTTGTCAAAATGAAATCTCACACAGTAGTCTAGTGTATACGATGAATGTGAGTGGATGGGGACAAGGGGGAGGGAGACACAGCCCATGCTTAATTAAGCCTTTGCTTTGACCTCTGTTTGTTTCTTGAGGGGTCTCCAAGGAACCTCCAAGTTTCGGGAAAGGCAGCAGGAAAAAACGTTGTTTCTAGTGCATATCCACCCTGCTCCACGCCCCTCCTCCAAAGAAGAAAAGCTGAATGCCCTGGAGGTAACACATCCAAGGTGACTCTTTGTCTGGAATTCACCAGGGCTGTTTTCTCACTGTGGTTAATGCCTGAGGATCTACCTGGGAGCCAGTTTGCCCTCCAATTGTTTCAAGAAAATGACCCTGACAACAGCAGGGTCAACTCTCCTACTCCCAACAGCATTTTTGAAAGTGCCTGCTCTTCAGGTGGGGCTCAGAGGCACTTTCAGACAGGCCACCCCTTGAATCATGGGATGCCTGCTGAGTGGTTGGGAGTAGTAGGTCCAGTGATTTTTTTTAGTTCCAAACATTCTCCCTATCAGGATGCAGGCTCTCCCCAACTCAAAAACTAACATTGAACTAGACTGTGGTTGTTATTAGCTGAATGTTTGTTTGCCTACAAAATTCATCTGTTGAAATCCTAACACCGCCCCCCCCAACTGTGGTGGTATTAGGAGGTGTGGCCTTTGGGAGGTAATTAGGTCATTTGGATGGAGCCCTTATGAATGGGATTAGTGCCTTTATAAGAAGAGACACACAAGAGATCTTACACCCTGCCCCCCAACCTCCCTACTTCCCTTCTTCCCTCCATCATGTGAGGTTAGGAGGTGACCATCTGCAAACCAGGAAGAGTGTTCTCACCAGAATCCAACCATGTTGCACCCTGGTATCAAACTTCCCAGCCTCCTGAACTGTGGGAAATAAATTTCTGTTAAGTTGCCCAGTCTGTGGTGTTCTGTTATTTAGCCTGCACGGACTAAGATAATGGTGGTGGTTGCACAATTTTGTGAATGTACTAAATACTACTGAATGGTTAAAATGGTAAATTTTATGTTATGTGCATTTTAGCACAAACATAACAACAACAACCATTTAATAATAATAAAGCTTACATTGGCTCCCTATTTCCAGGGATCAAGTTCAAACTTCCGGGTATAGTTTTGAAACAGGAATTTTCAGGGTAAAATAGGACAGGTTTAGGAAATTTTAGAAATTTTGGAAATTAATGGGACCATGGAGGAAGCACAGGGCTGCAGAGCAGCAGAAGGTATATTTCCATAGAATAGGGGAAGCTGAAAAGCTGCAACAA